CGTGAGTTAGGAATATATCATTTTGACGTCAGGCCGAGTGGAATGCAACTGTATCCTGAGATATACTTATCTAATTGTTTGGAAAATCTCAATTGTAAGTCTTGAAATCAACTTTACCGACTCTGAAATTCTTTTCTTCTTTGCTTTTGACCATAAGTATTTTTTCTAAGATCTGTATACCATGATGATTGTTTGACCTTGTTTTCGCAACTTGGCCATATTTGTAGGAAGACTTAGTGGAGCGAATCTAGTCGGGAGTCCATTGTATGCATCATCATTTTCAAAGTCGGACCGTGGACGTGGTACATTCCGAAAAAATATGAAACGCTTCACGATTTTGTCTGTCATCCTTGGGCAAAATCATGAAGCGTTCCATATTTTTTCGGAATGTACCACGTCCACGGTCCGACTTTGAAAATGATGATGCATACAATGGACTCCCGACTAGGTTTGCTCCTCTAAGTCTTCCTACAAATATGGCCAAGTTGCGAAAACAAGCATAAATAACTTGTATAAGTATTTTTCGTTTATAAGTTTAGTTTCGTAATGTGTGTGAGATGTATTCACACTATTTCGAACAAAATTTCGAATTTTCCCACAGTGATAAAATTGTGTCAAAATTCGACTACCAGTAATCTTATCATTTTAAACCAATTGTGATGAATACATCTCATACTTTGACAATTCTTTCGTTAATTTCTCCTCCACAGTAGGAGAATGAGACGGGCCAAATCGTCGATTCTGACCCTCATTTAGCCTAAACTACTCGATTCTGGCCTGATTCGACGATCGCAGAACCTACTAATCTTTCTTGTCTCATGCAGCAACCTCCATTCGGCATTCGTTTGTGGCATGCTCTCGTTGGGACGCAACGCCACGGTACCCTCAATATAGCAGTAGTTCTCGACGAACGTCTTAAAGGAGGAGCCCATCGGCACGGTGGGCATGTGGCATGCAATGGACCGGCGGAAGAAGGTCTCTGAGGTGACGATGATACCGCAGAAGATGAGTGCAACGACTGTGTAGGCGCTGTTCAACCGGTCCGTCCAGTCCTCGAGTCCCATCAGACTGTGCAACTGGTGGCCGTTGTAGAGCGCGAGGAAGTCCGAGGCGGACATGATGCGGACTGAAGAGAGTTCGAGAGCCGCTGGTCTGGGCGAAGTTGAATCAAACAAATGCCGACAAACACGTGGGAAGGAGACGGGGATTCCAGTAGTACGTTGGTCTGAAGACCGAAGGAGATTTGCAAACACAGAAGCCCTATTTAAAGGAGAGGTATTGCGACAAAGTTAAAACAAGAGATACGCATTCAGAACTAATGATGCAACAGTGCAGAGCGAAAGATTAGCATACATAAAGAACATATCATAACAGCAATCAGCTACTGATTAGCGAATTCAGTAGTGTAATGTTAATTGATAAAGCCATAATTGTTATTTAACCCGATTAATGGAGATGGCATGAGTTAATATTCAACGTATTTGCCTTTTGACCCTTTGGTTACAATTTCACATTAGGGACCTATGAGACGACAA